CGCATTGAACTCAATTGTTTCAAGCAAAGTCAAAGTAAAAAAGTTCCTTTAAGTTAGTTAGATTTGTAACTTTTAATTGAACACAAAAAAGTATGTTGTCATCACTAAACCAAATGAGTTAAATTAGATTAAAGTAAATAAGTCCATAAAATGAACAACAGCCAAAAACCCTTTTTAGACTGTAGGACCTGACAGAATGCCCACAGAAAGTCATCATAAGATCACCAAAGGGTTTAGCTGTGGGTACCATCATCCAGCCAAGTCTGCATAAATGCAGACTTATCAGGTAAACAGTTTCACATTCAGGTGAAACAATCACACTGAAACAGGCGTATAGACGGAAAGCTCAACTCAGGATGTAACACTTTGTGTAGACTTGAGGAAACACCAAGATAGGATCAGGACAGGATCCCTAGAGGATCAGGCTACCGCGGACTGTTTGCACTAGGTTAGATATTCTTCATGGTATTTCTGTAAATCTATTGGCCAGACCAGATGGAGCACATTGGCTCAGTCAAAATGAAATTGAGAATCAGGACAAAATTAAGGAGAATACTGGAATACAATGAGGTTCTATGCCCTTTTGTAAATTGCACACATTAATAAGAAGTCAGTTTAATTAAATAGGATTCCCACTCGTAAAGCAAAAGATGCAACGATATTTGTGTGAAGTGACACCAGAGTGGAAGTTCCTGTGTTCCAGGCAGCATTCTTCACACATTCAGAGGCACAAGGTCAGACTTTCTACTAGTCCAAGTTCCAGACAAACAATAGCGTTTGGTAAGCTCTTTCACAGGCAGTTTCCAGCTGTGTGCTAATGGATTTCTGCTGTCTGGAGAGCCAGACACACTGCAGAAATCTCATTAGTAAGTTCCGGATATTCTCGTTAAAAAACAGGGCAACCAGGATGTTCAAAGGTGAGGAATAAATCAATAGTCAGGTAGTATCAGCTTATTAACTTATGATTTTTACTGAATTGACTATAAGTGATGGAACAATTCTTGTAAAATCCACAAACAAGATTCATCTGAACATGGCCTTGTCTTCTCCAAATAGAACATCTTTTATTTGAAATGAAAGTAAAACTCCGATTTCTTATCAAGTCTTGAAACTAGAAAAGTATACCCAGAGAAAAGATGAGCACAACCACAAGAAACTATTAAAACCAAAAACAAAAAACTTTTAAATGCCCAAATTTGAAAAATATTTGACATATTTGTAAAGGTTTGCCCTGCGACAGACTGGCGACCTGTCCAGGGTGACCCCGCCTCTTGCCTGGAACGTTACCTGGAGATGGGGACCAGCACCTCCTGACCCCACAGGGTCAAGGGTGTATAGAAAATGGATGAATGGATGGATGAAAAGGTTTGTCAGGATGAGACCTCTCTGAAACAATATGGAAAGCAAATTAAAAAGTTGTACCCAAAACCCACACAAGCTGGCTCTGCCTCTCATGCCTCAGGCTAAAGGGTAAGATTATCCTGAACTGTCGCTGTAGTTTTGCAGCTGTAGGAGCAGACAACTTTTCCTCACTTTCTAGAAAAAATTCTAGATCGGTTCTCAGTGACAATGTGGCCAATCCATACAGGCAGATCTATCCAGTCTAATGCTATGTTTTGTGCTTTGAACGAAATCATACTTTATTTATTTTACATTGTTTTTAGAATTCCTAATTGAACTTTCTGAACCATTTGACAGAAGATTTTTTAAAGTTTATTTTGACATGTTTCACCCAAGTAGTCAAACTATTGTTTTAGTTGGTTTCAGTTTATTTATTATTCACTGTACCTTGACTGCTATATTTCTAATTGCACTGACGAACAAATTAAAGTTGTTGTTTTTACATGTTTGATCAAGCTTGTGATTTGTTGCAGATATCAGTATCAGAAGTAAAGAAAAGGTGGATCGATGCATCCCTAGTTTGGCTGTGACACCTTCCTGGAGGAGGACATTGGCTGAGAAAATGCTGCCAACAATCTCCCTCCCTGACGTCACCTTTTTAGTTTTCATAAATATAGAAAGTAATCCTATATCAGTTTGTCTTTTTTTGTGTATTCTGCTCTGTCTTCTCAAGACTCCAGTCATACGTGGTAGACGGTTGCTTGTACTGAGCCAGGGAGGTTTTCCTCTCCACTCTCACTACATGTATGCAGGACAAATCAGTGTCTCGCTTCTGGGCTCCCATAGAGGTGGAGGACTAAATGTAGCCATTTGATTCAATTTTATTTTCTAGTTTTATTCAAATGCAGCTTCAATGAAGAGAAAAAACACAGAACATAAAGTTAAAAACTGGAATAACAGCTAATAATGCAAGACTGGAGAGCAGTAGGAGAAAGTAGCAAAGTGAGGAAAAGTGGCCATCATGTCCTCCAGTAGCATAACTACAGAGACAGTTTACCAAAGCCAGTATAGGCTTTATAACAAAGGAATGTAGACAGGGTATCTGTCAGAAACTCCAGGAACCACCAGTAAACATGAAGTCTGAGAGCAAAGTGCTAGTAACATCTGGAACAATCTGATCTATAACAGAGCCTGATTATTATGGGTTTTATATGTGAGAAGACTTTGAAATTCTCTTCTGGATTAAACAAGGAGCCAATAAAAGGAAGCTAAAATGGATAGATGTGATCTCCATTTTGAATTTTCTTTTTTTTGCCACTAGTGGCCATTAATGAACACTAGAATAACAGGAAAAAGGGAAGACATGTAGCAAGTGGTCCAAGACTGAGAACTGATCCCAAAACAACCAGGTCAAAGTCAATATACTCCACACAGAGTCAAGTCTATTTGGTCATTTTCAGACTTATAAATGCAACTGGATAGGATGGATTTCATTTAGGAGTGCCAGATAAAAGGAACACATATGAATGCTGCACTTTTCAAATTTTATTGAGAAAAACCCTCTTCCTCCCACCTTACTTTTGCATGACTTTGCATTTGTCAAATAAAATCCAATCAAATATACCAACATTTGTGGTTCTAATGTGACAAAATGCTTAGATTTTTTGTCTTGTATGTGTAAGTTGTGGAACTTGTAGCATTGACTAAAACGTGCATTTTTATTACTGTGCACTTTCAGAACTGCACTGGGGCAGGGTTTAGATAAAGGTTCCCTTTATTTGTTCCATTAGGGTCCACAGAGACAAAAGCAGCTGTGGCAGCAGCAGCAGCCCACCAGGACAGCGACCTGTCGGGGTTCAGTCTGAACAAGGAGTGACTGCAGTGTCCCACTAGAAAAAAATCTCTGTACACCCCATCCTCTATAATTGCAAACATGACTTTATTTGCCAAAGAACTATGATTAACAAACAATATGTTTGTGCATAAATGTGACAAAATGTTTACTCAAGAAACGAAAAACAGCATAAACAAAGACAGAGCAGCAACAGACGAAGTGCTGATTAACACCACACAAGATCTGGTCGAAATAGCCAGATCCCTTCATTCTACCTGCAGTCAAACGCTTTAGCAATGTCTTTCTTACCAGCGCTGCTCATGACAGCAGTCAGATGTTTTCTTCAATCAGATGATGCCTAGTAAACAACTCCCCGTCCACAATGACCCTACATGGATGATGCCAGCAGCAGCCTTAGACAGCAGCCTGCAGTGATGAGGACGAGAGGGGGATGACTCCGGGCTGTCCCCGCCTGCTGATGCCGCTCAGAACTCCACAAACAGCCGCATCAACAACACAATGTCCTGCGTGGGATCCACTGCGGAGCTGCTCCGGTTCCCCCCCGCGCGCAGCACAAGGCGCAGGCTGGGTGTGGGTGCACCGTGGGGCAGCGCCGCTGGAGTCAAGTTAGACTGCCATCGATATAGTCGCTTCCGCTATGACCTTTCAGATTTATATATATATATATATATATATATATATATATATATATATATATTATCAGAATAAACCGGACTAATTGGTTCTTTGCTTGTTTTTACATTGACTGCAATATAACTTTTATTCAAAACAGTAATTATTTGCTCAAAAATACAATTTGTTGTAATTAAGCTGGAAAAAATGAAAATGAATAAAATTATTGAGTTAAAGTTTTTCTTTTTTAGAATAATCTGTGTATTTTATGTGTATTGATTTATTTATTGTGCTATTTCTGCTATTATTTTTAATATGTCAGTTTTGGTCCTCCATACTTACCTAACTTTTGTTTTTGTCCTCTTTCCCCCCCAAACGTTCCAACCGTTCACCAGTCAGCTTCTAGTTTTTATTTTGGAGGGGACATATCACCAAGCTTCCGGTTTAGTGTTGGGTAACAGAAATCGATCTGACAGAGGATCCAGCGCCTCTCTGCTGCTGGCGTGAGAACACATGGGAGATGTAGTCCATGTCAAATAATAAGGGGTTTATTTCATTTCATTGAAACATTTGCTTTTATGTTATTTTATTTGAACTGGATTTAATTTTGATTTGCCTCTGCAGGCTGTCTACTGGCTCCTGTCCAGTGTCTGCTGGAGATGGGTGCCAAACTATTCTGCAACCCCCATTTTTAAAATTAATTTTACAAAACAATCACGGTCAACAAAATGGGGCTTTTTTTGTCAGAACTTTATATTAATACCTGTATTAAACCACGTTTTCATGTCAAAGATCCCTATTAGGACCAGTCAGCAGCTGATGATGAAAACTGATTTTACATCTTCCTAGTTCACTTTATCTATTTATTTTATTTTACCTTTATTGACCAATGATATAAGAAACAAAGTGAATTATATGGAGCAGCTCATCAAAAGCAAAGATTTAATGTACAAATTAACAGTTTATTTCCTTCAGCCATTAGATCGATAAACAATAGTTAGCTGACTCTGACATAACACAGCCACTTTATCCACCTGTTACTCTGCACATGCATACATATGTTTTTTTCTTTTTCATATTCATATTTTATTAAATTAGTTATTTATTTGTTTTTGCATCATGCTAGTGCAGGTACCAAAAAAATCTGCAAAAAAATCTAACTGACTACTGTCCAGTTTCACTAACCTGCCTCTCTCACCAACCGACCTCAGGTGGTGAAAATAGGGGACTGAACATCATCCACCCTGGTCCTCAATTCAGGCACACCACAGGGCTGTGTGCTTAGTCCAGTTCTTTTTACATTGTTCACTCATGACTGTCTAGCTATCCACTTCTCCAACAGGGTTCTAAAGTTTACAGATGATACCACTGTAATGGGTCTGATAACAAACAATGATGAGACCCTGTACAGAGAGGAGATCCCAAACCTGTCCCAGTGGTGTTCAGTGAACAACCTGGTGCTCAGAAACTCTTGCATCCATCCACTCTCAGAAGTTTACGGATTGTTTTCTCTTTATTTGGTAATTAATTAGAAGAACAGATGTTGCTTTTTTAATCATTATTGATCAGTTTTAGGAATTCAATCAAATAATTTCAGCTCTGATTGAAATATAAAAATTTTCTGGATAAATCACAAAGCAAAAATGTATGTGTTGTTGTTGTTGTTTTTAATTTAGAAGCTATGCAAATCATAGGATTATGTAGAATTTTAAAGTGCACTTCTTTTTGCTTTGTTAGAGAGTCAGTATTTATGAAGGAAGAGCCAGGCCTTTCTCCAGTTCATGCTTTCAGTTTGACCTCTCCATTAAAACTTACCTTTAGGTACAATGCTGTCCTTTCTATGACAGCACTGATGTAAGTAGTAAGTGTTTATTGTTTCACATTATCTGTTTAATTCTCTCCAGTGTGAGAGTGAGTGTTTTTGTAAAATTACTTAAGTGATTTATTGTACTAGTTGAGCTAACTCTGGGAATAGCATGAGTTATCTTGTAAAATTCTCTGAAAGAAACAGGAAAACTGGACAGACATAAAGTGCTCATATATTGCCACTGATATCAAATAGTCCAGTTTCTATAATGGTTACATGGTCTCTGTCTCCCTTTTCAATATGGCGGACAAATTGACGTGTCGCTCCAATGACACCTCCGAAAGGAGGGACGTAAAATGGGCGCGACTTAATACAGCATGATTCTGGTATTTTTTCAAGTCGTTGTTGTATTTGAAGTTCTGGAGAGAAGCCAGTAACCGGATATACAGCTCAGACATGGAGATTATCGAGGCAAATATGGACAGTTTTGGAATAGAAGTTATTCTTCCAGAGGAGGGAAAAACAACGCCACGTTGTCCGCATGGTGAGCTGATAGCTACAGCACAACAGCAAACTAGGTCGTTTCAAAAACTGTATGTGTTAAATTTAGTGTTACATAATTAGCCCTGTGTGATTAACTTCTGCTAAACTCAGGATTTGTGTTTATGTTTAAAAAACGCTTTGAAATCAGTGAACTTTAAAGAGGCTTGGGTTATTTCTCAAGATGAAAATCTAGAATACTTAAAGATGCTGTTCCGTGAGCTGCTTGTTTTCTTTTGCAAATGATTTTTGAACTTTAACTGGCTGGAATTCCTGTTTCTGTCTGATTGGTTTCTGTGCATGGTTTTCACTCTGAAATTGCGTAAACACTTTATTCTGCATTTATCAACGTGAAGAGAATGATTTGCAGCATTAACTTGTACTGCTTTAGTTAACCTGAACAACTTGTGTTGTTCTGCCTGCTGAGAGATGGGGCGGGGGGTTCTCAAAAGAATGACGACAGAGGTATTGACTTTACTCGTGGTGCCTGCATTGTTAGGTTTGGTAGATAACTCCAGGCCTCGAGGGCCGGTCTCCTGCAACTTTTAGATTTGTCTCTACTTCAACACACCTGAGTCAAATAATGAGGTCGTTAGCAGGACTCTGGAGAACTTGACTGCACTGAGGAGGTGATTCAGCTGTTGGATTCAATTCTGTTGGACCAGGGAGACATCTAAGAGTTGCAGGACACTGACCCTCCAGGACCAGGATTGCCCAACTCTGTACTAGTATCTACTCAGTGCAGCTTGACTCTATTATAATGGTTTGCTGAGCGATTAATTGTCTAAAAAATTATTGCGATAAACGATAATATTGTTTCAAGACCTTTTGACACTGATTTAATAGAAATGACTAATAATGCATGTGATTTCCTGCCATAGATAGATGCACTTTATTTTCAAAAGAACACATAACACTGGAACTGATAAACTAAATAAACAACACAACCAAAAACAAAAATAAAATGGATTCTCAGTCTCCATTAACAAAAAACATACTTAAATAAAAACTAAACAACATAAAGCCAAAGTGGAAATAAATACTGCATTCAACCAAAAGAGTGCAGATATGAAGTCTGTATACTATATTGCCCTTCAGTAATCACTAGATTTAAATAGAGAAGACGGGCACATCCGACTACCTAATGCAGTAGTTCATACTACACGATTTTTTGCCCCCATTTTCCCCTTATGATAATCTTAGATCGTTGGCCGATCTAAGATTGTCGCTGGTGATTTCGTAACCGATCATTCTGTAGTGTGATTTAGATCGNCGTGGCCGCTCCGAAATAAATCAGGGGTTTTCCCCGACTGGGAGCTTAAAGCTGAATGTGACATTAAGCCAATCAGAAATCGTGGATTCTCCTCCGGGCTTTCTGAGGGGAAATTACGGAGGGGAATCCCAAACAGCTGACACAGCAGCAACCTGAAGTCCAGCGGACATCGGAGATGATATGTGGAAACAACATTAATGTTTATTCAACATTTCGTGCAAAGAATATAGAAATGACAAGGGGAGGAGTTGGAGCCAAATTGCTACTGCAGTTGATAAACCCGGTAACTTTTCAGCTGTTCTTCGTTAACGTGACATAAATAGTTATAATGATTTTCATTCAGTCAGGACTTTATGCTGACTCTAGCCACATGCATCACAGGTAGATTCTAGTAAAGCATTGATTAATGCCTCGTTTTAAAATGAGTTAACTGGACTTGTAGACATTATTTTGTGCCCATGTAGCTGGACACCACACGCCACGATCGAACCCGATCGAACCGTTATACCTAGGATTTCTGTCGGCTAATGTGTGGTCTCTCAAGTTTTGAAAATGGGCCGTCAATCGGCCGACAACTCGTGTAGTGTGAGCTGGACATTACACTAAGGAAATGAGGACGGGAGGGTCAGTGGAGAGCACTGAAGTTGAGCCTTTTTTATTCAGTGTCATCAACA